ACAGGAGGTTCGGGCCAACACTAAGTGAACTGATACCTACAACAGTGACCGAGCAATGAAACTCAATCACACTTGAGAGTGATCGGCAGACGTGAGATCACGCAAATTTCATGATAAGAGTGTACACTTAAAGAAGAGCTCTAAACAAGCTTGTCCAGCTGCTTTCTCCCTACTACAGATGTTCTTCATTGTATGCAAGTTCCATTAGAGCTGCGACTAACCATCCCTCCTTACTCACCTATAGAAATTGTGACTTTGACTAAGGAAATTGTTATGAGCTTTTCTAACCATTTTAATAACTAAGAAAAGTCTAGGTAATCTCAAGCTTATTATATTACTATAGCCAAATTATGGATTTAAAACAAGTATTGCATCATCGGATACTAATAATATGTTCATCAAAAGTCAAAGTGATGAAACTTTAAGTCAACCATCTTTCTTTTATTGGTTTTACATAAAACCCTTATTTTTGTTGAATTATCCATTTAAATCTTAGTTTAATTCTAGCTTTATTTCAAGTATTTAAAAAGACCAAAATCCCCCATTTTTAGTTTTATTGTTATTTTACAAGTACTTTTGCAAAGAGATTTTTCATAGAGTTATTAAATTGAACAATCTCTGTGGATTCGACCCCTTTACCACTATACACTATTTTAGTGTAAAAGATTTAGGTTTATTTATTTTGTTGGCCTCGACACCACCAGCATCCTAATTTTGTTTTTCTGTTTTTCATATTTTAACATTGTATTTTTCGGGTTTTTCTTAATTTGGCATTCTACCTTCAAACATTTTCCAAATATAGCATTGAACTTTTAAATAATAATATTTAAACTAATTTTGTTTTGTGCTTTTGGTTTTATGTCAAATCCCTTGGTTTTTGCATTTATCATGTTTAGGAATCATACGAACATATGTCATATGGCATTTTTGTTTCGTTATACCATTTTAATCTCAAGAAATAGCATATTACTTTTGATTTTAAAAAGTACAATGGAGTAATCGTAAAAAATATAAGTAAAATGCTATGAAAAAACAAGAAACAACAATGTATTTTTATTTAACTGTTTACTATAACATCTTACTTTCATTTTCATTTTCATTTTCTAGCTAACACGTCCAAAAATTATTTTTATTTTATGTTTCTTAAAATTATACTAACATTTTTCTTTTTCAACCATGGTTTTCACAGGTTTACACATTATATATATATATATATATATATATATATATATATATATATATATATATATATAGTTTTTTTATTTATATTGGTTTGTTATAAGTTAGTCAAATTTCAGTTGGGTGCTTAGGCTTTTCACATCACTGCAATGTCACTCATCTTTCAATAATGCCACATCATCTTTGCAATTACATCTCACACCACTTCAATAACAATACTCTTTCAAAAGTGTCGCCTCAACAAATATTATATATATTATTAATTATTCAAAAAAACGTTATATATATATATATATATATATACACACACACACACTAGCCGTTTACCCGCGTCAAGCGACGGGTGCAAATAGTTTGTTTCGGAAGATAGTTTTAATGCGTCAGTTAGTTTCATTTAGGTGTGAGGTAGTTCCTTACGGCCTTTTGACGGATTGTTTTGTGTTAGATAGTTTATTTCAACGGATAGTTTCTAGGTAGGTGTTTGGATCATTTCAACCAACATTGTATATGAATATAATGATAACGAACCATCATCTAGGCATACGACATCGAAAGGTTAAACACGACTGAGGAGCAGGGGAATCGTCTATGTTTTCATATAAAAGATCGATGGTGGTGGCTGTGGAGCAATGAAAAATTTGAGGTCTTGGTTGTTGGTGGAGGTGGAATTTTGTAGTTAGGGTTTCTAGGAAACAAATTTGGGTTAGGGATTGCAACAGAGGACAGGAGGCAGAGAAAATGTAGTGGAGATTGGATTTTGTGGTTAGAAAACAAATAAATAGAATCAATACACATAGTATATAACATAAAAAAATTGTACCTCCAGATTGTATCTTAAAATCATTTATAATAGGCTTAGGTAACAAATCAACAACCGAGGTTAAAGGCTTTAGATAGAGATATGACGGGACTTCACCAAAGATGTAGAAAGTCAAATAGAATCTACGGAATTAACACCAAAATTAGTCAAAAACTAAAAAAATATTAAAGTTGTATAAAATAGTACAAATCCTTAAACCATTTAAGTGACAAACCTTAGGTTGGACACAAAAAATAAACCATTTTTAATGCTGCAAAGCAAGGCCAACCTACTCCCCGCAAAAGGATAAACCATGCCTCTAAAAAATCAACTAACTACAATAAAAATGGACAGTAACCCCCTCCTATAGTGAAACAATCAAAGTAGTTGTAGAATCGAACCTTTCACTTAATCAAGCACCATATCTGGAGCATCAATCTTTTTTCTTTATAGCTTAACAAGCCAACAATTTCTTCTCCTCTTTATTGTTGCTTGGCGTCGATCCATTGAACACATTTCTTGGCCCCTTATCAAAGATAATTGCATCCTAAAGTCAAGAATGAATTAAAGAAGCAAAATATAACTTAAATCATAATGAAGATCGAAAATAGAAAGAAATAGATTTGTCTTCCCCATAACTTTTTCCTTTAACATACAAATCCATAGGTAAATTAAAAAAAAAAGGAAAAAAATCGAAATTAATGAAACTTTATAGAAATAGACAGAGAAGTTTGTGGGGAGAAGGTACCAGATCTTTGGTCGAGGGTGTGAGTGGCAGAGAATGGGCTTCATCTTTGTCACCTCCTCTGACTTATATACCTCCACAGTAAGTTGAATCAGACCTTTGGTTTTAGAAAGAGAGGAAACATATCTGCAACAAAACTTATAATTGTTTACAATTGCATAGGCTTGAGAAAGGAGAGATGCAAAAATCTGATTTTAAATTTTTAATCTTCAACTTTGACTCTTCTGAGACTGGTGTAGGAATTCGTCTGTTGTTGCGAGTTTTTTGAGAGGGTGCATGTTTCCTAAGTCAACATACGACCATAGAAAAAGATATCAATCGCTTGATGATATCAACATGTTAATTAGGTTGCAAGTTATCAAAACTAAAGCTTCAACAAAAACAAAACTACATGTTTGTACAAGGAAGAAGCTTACCTTTGAGAAGGGAAAGCAACCGATATGATGTCGACATCCAAACCATTGTTATGTCTGCATATTTTTATGTAATTTTAGAGGTTACCCATGAAGAGATGAAGATATTAATTTTTTATAGTAGAAAAAATTAGGAAATGAGAAGAATACGAGATTTCAAATCAATTCATGGTCTTCTTTTTATGATGGGTTTTGTTATCTTTGGTAAGGACTAATTATTAGTCATTTTGAAGAGATAAACATCAAATGATTGTTCGTAATTTTATATTTTTTATACCTCTTAAATTTTAAGAAGTAATGAATATGTTTAATATAATAGAATAGAATATATAAAATCTACAATCTCAAAATAAGAATAATATTAAAGAGATATTTTTCTACAAAAGTTTATATCATTAGTCTTAAATAAAAGCTTATATAATATATAACACATTTTATAATTTTTCATAAAAAGCTAATCTCGACATATTTTTTTGGAGTTTTTCAAAAAGTTAATTATTAACTTTTGTTAAAGAGGATGCAATAACAAAATCAATTAGTAGTAATTCCCTCCTAAAAATGGGTTTCATAGAAACAAAGAAAAAAAAGATTGTTTATTTCATCTCGTATAATAATTATACTGTCGTAATTTTTTTTTTTAATATAACACGTTTACATTTTTAAATTAAGTTAGATATAAATGGTCTTTAAGATGTTAAAAAAATGAAAACGTGAAATATATAAGATTGTTTTAATGTTAAAATAATAGTAAAATTAATAATATTACAAGCAGTTCATAATCTTCTTTCCATGATGGTTTTTGTTATCTTTGGTAATGATTAATTATTAGTTTTGAGGAGATTAACATTAAATGATTGTACTTAATGTTATAGTTTTTTTACCTTCTTAAATTTCAAGAAATGATGAATATGTTTAATATAATAGAATATATATATATATATATATATATATATATATATATATATATATATATATATATATATATATAAAAGGAAAAAAAACAAGAACCATATCTACTCTAAGAAATGAATTTTTTTTTTTCACATGTCACACTCTCATTTAATTTCCTAAATGCAATTTGGTGGTTATTGTGAATTAATTTCTTTTCTACATGTCATTTTATGATTTTTTCTATTTTAAAAAATTCTACATAATATTTTAATGTAATAATTACAATAAATCATCTTTAATAAATAAATATTTTTTTTTGCCACATGTTAATCTCTAATGAGTTTTGATACTTATCATTTTGTGATATTTTTTAAATAAATAATATCCATATATCAATTTATGATTTTTTTTTAATTTTTAAATTTAAAAAGTCATATAATCTTATACTTATATATGTAAAGTATCAAATGTAATAAATATTATAATAAATTGCAATTAATATGTTTTTTCATTTCTTATTTCTCAATATATACTTATTATTTACATTTTAATATTTTATTTTTTAATCAATCCGTATAATATACGAGTTTTACACCTAGTATTTAGTAGAGTACTATTTTTTTTTTATAAGATGGATTTACCAATTTAAAAACAAATTAACTTACGTAAAGTTCTAATAGAAAAATATTATATTTACGTAAAAGTATCACTCGTATTCTTTTTTATAAATATAGTTTTAATATGATATTTTTTTATAATTATATGTACAGTATTTCTCGTGTGATCAAGTTTTAATTGGTTTGCCTTTCATTTTAAAATCAAAATAGTCTTCATAAAATATTTAGAAAATCAAAGATATCCCTTATATTAAATTTTAAATATCCATGTAGGCCATAGAATTTGTCTTTGCAAGCCTTTTGAAAGGGCTCATTCTATGTGACATTCAATTTGGTTTGAAAGGGGCTTGGAAGAGGTGATGTGATGTTCTTACAAAAATACCTACACAATAATTAAAAAAGCTCTTAATTAAAATTTATGAATTAATAATTTTTTGAGAAAGCTTGTCTTTGAAAAGAAAAAGGTTTCTATTATATATATATTTTTAAAATTTTCTACGATTTTCTCTTTAATAAAATAACAAAATTATATTACCTCTATCAAATTTCAATAGTTATCATAAAAAGCTTAATTAGGTTGTACGGTACAAGTCGTTTAGGAAGTGAAGAAAGATGAATCGAAGTGATGAGTCATTTGGACGGAGATTACTTGGCTGCGTTTAAGCTATCACAAGTGTCTCTCAAATTGGCGGCGATCATGAATCATCCGGTGACTATCATAATCAACTAAAAAACTCGGTTTCTGCTCAGAAGGCGGTGAACAGAAAAGGAAGATATGGAGGATGCGGGAAAGAAGGTAGTGACGGAAGGAGTTGACTGCAAGATTCCGGTGACGGAAGCGTGGATAAGGAAGCACCGTTTGCTTTACGACGGCGCCACCAGACACCCTTTTATCCGCAGTATCCGTGACGGATCAGTCGATTTCACTTCTTTCAAGCGATGGCTGGTAATTTCCCCCCTTTTTTCTATAGAGCTAACTGTTGAATTTGAAATGAAAGTCTTACGAAATGGATTGACCTCAACATGATCGTAATGGTATTGTCAAAACCTGCAACAAAACCACATCGGATATTTTATTTGAGTAGTAACATGTTTAAATTCAAACCAGTTTGTTTTAGGGCTTTTTGCTCTAATTATTTTGCGAATTCCTTTTGAGTCTGATCAAATTTCAGTATGATTTGAATTGAAGATTGCATGAATCGCTCCTAATTCCAATCGTTGAAATTCATGTTGATGTATAACGCAGGGACAGGATTATATATTTGTGAGATCATTCGTCCCGTTTGTAGCGAGTACATTAGTGAAGTCCTCGAAGGAATCCGGCGATGGTTTGGATATGGAAGTGATTCTCGGTGGGGTGGCGTCTCTAAACGACGAAATCAATTGGTTCAAGAACGAAGCTTCCAAGTTTCATGTTTCTCTCACAAGCGTCGTCCCACAAAAACCAAACATCAAATATTGCAGGTATTAACATAATCGACGATTCTTCCATTAACGTATTTTATGTTCAATTAGCAATTGAATTGCTTGTTGTTACAGGTTTCTGGAGAATCTAACAAGTTCAGAAGTCGAATACCCAGTTGCAATTTCAGTGTTTTGGGCCATTGAGGTTGTGTATCAAGAAAGCTTTGCTCATTGTCTTGAAGAAGGGAATATGATCCCAGAAGAACTACAAGGGACTTGTGAACGATGGGGGAATGAAGGTTTTGGAACATACTGCAAGACTTTGAGGGAGATTGCTGATCGTTGCTTGCAGAAAGCGTCGCCTGAGGTGATCTCGAAAGCAGAAGTGGCTTTTTTAAGTGTTCTTGAATATGAAGTTGACTTTTGGAATATGAGTGTTGGAGAAGCGTGAGTTATGTGAAAAAAGTGTCTGACCTTTAAAAACTATGTTAAGTATGTTGAGTTATTACTGTATTAAGATATGTATTAATGTATGATTAACCTTTAACAAATCGCTATTAGTAATTATGTGATTATAGAATTACATTGCAAACATGAGAACATTTTTTAACTTTTTCTATGTAACATGATTTGAAAGCCTCCTCCTATTCTTGCCTAGAGGGTGCTTAGGATTGCGATATGAAACAAGCATATAAATGCACAATTAGATAATCATTGTAACATGAAACGTAAGGTAAATCGTTTGGATGTGTTCTTAATTTGTAAGAGTAAGGCAGAAGAGCCGTTTCCGAAGCTTGATTTCTCGCTGAAAACCAACTATCATTGGGCCCAAGTCCAATGATCACCGGTGAGACTTGGAGCATCTACAATGCAAGTAGTATAATAGTTAAATAGTGTGACGATTAGGATTGAATATGAGTTGAGAGACTTGGAGCATCTACAATGCAAGTAGTATAATAGTTAAATAGTGTGACGATTAGGATTGAATATGAGTTGAATGAAGTGTAGGTGATGATGTAAAATAAATGTTGAATGGAGAAGTTGAATGATATTGAATGGTTCAATAGAAGGAATAAAGTGGTGATTATGATTGAAATATGTATAATGGGTTGTGAGTGATGTTGTATAGATGTTTAATGGATGATGTAGTAATCTATTGAACTCTATAGAGTTTAATGGATTGTGGATGTCGTTAGTGGTCTACCAGCACAATAAGACAGACTCCAACCTGGAGGCCCAAATGTCCCAAACGTTATGACCAGAGTCCATTAGTCTGACTAAGACAATGCTCAATGCCAAGATACAATTGATGTGATACAATACCCCGCTATAAATTAGTGGTTGCGATACATCACAAACACCCCGTTATAAAATAAACATGCTAGTGGTTGCAGAGCCCCTACAACCAATAAGGGATCATGCAATAACAACATAGGATCATGCGATAACAACAACCGACTATAAAAAAGAAACACATTTGTGATCAACATATCCAGGAGAATCATGCGATAAACATTGTCTCCAATACCAAACTATAAATACTTATCGCATTGGAAGATATTGTTAACCAACATCTTGTTCACTTACTCTATACTTTAGTTGTTCTCATACTCTTGAGTAAAAACTTTCTAACTTGACGTCATAGCCTAATCCTGAGCTCGTCTCAAACTTTTCATTTGTGATCAACATATCCAGGAGAATCACACAATTTCAAGTATATCCACCATTCATAACTCTCAATCTCATTGAAGATTAGGAAAATGACCTGAAATGGTGATATAGTTCTTATTTTGTACACGTTTAGTTCTTATTGTTTTTTTTCTTATAAAATAAGTTTTTTAACCGGTGATTTTGTATAAATTCAATCTTTATGAACGGCTACTCGATATTAAGTTCGCAGTTTTGTTTTTGTACACATTCATTCATTTTGACCGTTTTTTAGGTTTTACTTACATGACATCCTATGTGGATAATCATTAATGAGATCTCCATATACGTGGCTCGTTCCTCACTTATACCACTAACCTAGTTCATGAATTGGTCAAATAATATTGGTGCTCTACTTTTTTTTTTCAAGAAGAATATGTCTTCATCTTCAATTTCATCTATTTTTATAGTCGACAATGTGATTCTTTGTTATTGTTTTTCACCCATGTTGAATTTGCATTTCCAAAACCAAATAACAACCTGAAAAAAAAAAAAAAGTTTAGTGCCTTCCATAACTCCTTGGTATGTCAATTTTAAACATTTTTCTGCTAAATGATTTTTTTTTTCTATTCAAACTGACTCGGAGTTTTGAAGATTAGATTGTGGCTGTTAAAAAGGAGGTTTCCTCAACCACCTTAGATTGCAAAAAAAAAAAAAAAAAAAAAAAAAGACGATTAGGGTTTTGTCGCAAGGACTAAAGAGACGCATCACACACTTCTATTAACTTATTAATTGCTAATAAATTAACAAACTGGATCCGTAATAAAACCTCATGTTAATAATTGCTTAAATTTGTCCTTGCGTGTAACCTAAAAAAAGTCGGTTATTAATAATAATATTACCGACAGTTAAAATCATTATGACTAATGTATTTTTTTCACCTGATATAATATAGTTGGTATTTCTATTGAATGAAGTTTGTATTGGCATGAAATATAATTGGTATTGTACTATAATAGTTAATATCAAAAGTACAATGTTATTATCAAAACCAAGACAAGTAACACATGATTCTAATGTCCAAACGAGGCACATATAAAAACATCTCATTAATGATTGTTCCACATAAGATAAGATGTGAGTAAAACCTCAAGAAACTCATAATAAGGACCGAATATATATAAAACAATATATATATATATATATATATATATATATATATATATATATATATATATAATGGACTAAATGTGTACAGACTGAGAACTAAACCTAAAATATTCGGTCAAAACAACTGAATGTGTAAAACAATAAATTCAATGGCTTATTAAAAAAACAAACAAACAAACAAACAATGATGTCTAAACGTATACAAAATGAAACTATATTACCCTTTTAGGTCGTTTAGGAGGCAGACACAAGATTTTATAGCAGAGATGTTACAAAAAGTTTTAGTAGTGTTACAATAGTAGAAAAAATCGATTTTTTTGCACTGCATCCGAAAAACCAAGTGTTGTCGGTGCCACTATAGACACCGTAGTAAAACTGCCCCTGAGGTAGTTTCACTAAAGGTTATCTCATTTCGTATTTGGTGTGTAGTTTTAATATCATTTTTATATCTCCAAGGTTAATAATTATAAAAAATAAGTCATATCTGAACAGTTATTAATAATCGTTTAAAAATTTCATAGTTTTTTCAAACAATAGTTTTATAAATGCTACAAAATCTTATTTGTATATATTTTTCTTACCTTTTTACAAAACATAATCATAATTTTATGAATGATAATGTTATTTTTATGATTTTGTTTTACAAAAAATTATTAAATTATTTGTATTTTGTAACATGACCACACTACTTTTGGTCATTTTATTTTAGTAATATAAATATAGAATTGGTATCATTTAAGTGGTTTGATATGTAGTTAAAGAAATAAAGATGGCATGTTTCCGATTTTGTCGCATTAGAAATAGATCATGGAAATCAAGATGGCTTGATCGTAAAAAGCAGTCAAAGTAGGGGGATTTTAAATGCCCTATAAGAGTCAAGCGGAATATCAACAAGTGAAGAATATATTCTTTTCTCGCAGCAACAGAAATGAGCTTAGATTCATGTAAGCCAAAGAATCGAGCCCTAGTTTCCATTTCTTCACTCGATTGCTTGTTTCAGGGTTGAAATTTTCTAATCAATTGAAACTATGGCGTTTTGGTGGGCTTTGATCGTGATAGCATTCGCCTTTGTGATCTGTAAATTTCTACTGATGCTCATTCCTTCTAATGTGCCTTCAATCGACGTTGACGCCTCCGATGGTATGCGTTCTCTCTAGCAGTTGGTTTATTTTACTAACATGAGTTCAGCATTGAATTTTGGTGTACATTTCCCGTAAATTTGCAGATTGGGACATACAGTTGGTAGAAGTGCATAAATTTGATGTAAATGCGTGCACTCGTTGTGATGAGTAGCAAAATGTCATAGAACACTCGTTGCATTTAGATGAATGTGTCTGTCTATGATGTGTTGCAGTGTGTATGTTTGAGGTTGTGTATAGAACCATGCCCTAATATGCATATATTGAGTTTTGTTGGGGTTTTGTATTGTGTTCAATGGAAGATTTTACTTCTAGATGTCTAGATGATATAGGGTGATAGTAAACACTTGCTTATTTTAGGTACATTAGAACATTTGACTACCTTCATTGCGAAAAGAGAAGCTAAATGATTCCTCCCTATTACAAGTTCTATCAATTTTGGAGTAAAATTTGATATCGAGAACGTTATAAGTTTTTAGCAGATGGATTTTACCATCTAATGAGGGTCAATATCTGTGAGTCTTTCTTCTCCTGCCATCTTTTGTAGATCAAATTTCTAACACTTGTTGGAGTTCTGTAATGAAATCTAAGTTTTGTTTCCTGAAAATAGAAATAAAATCTATCAAAAAATAAATGTGGTGTTGTCCAACAAAATGGTAAAAAAAAATTATATTAGGAAATCGACAGGTTTGACCTCTGACATTCGATATAATCTACCATTTTCTATGGTATGAAGTATTATTACAAGTAGAGAGTTGTGAAATTTTGGAAGCATATCTGGGCAACAGAAATCGGCTTCTTAGTAGGCAATTAGGCATCATTCAAGCCAACTAAGACATGTTTTAGACCCTCTTTTAGGCTAAAACTAATTGATCTTTGATTGTGATGCTTCTTTGATTATCTCTTTTGTTACGTGTGCACTTGCTTTTTCCTCCATATGTGGATGCTTTTGATGTATGTATTTTGAGACTCTAATACCTTTTACACATATTGGATGTTTAACAGTTCTAGATGATGGGCATCCAAAGGAGAATAGTTTCATTTATGTAAGTTTCTTATTTATGTTTCCAGACATTTATCAATGTATAAACCTTGGTCCTTAGAGTTATTCCATGTTCAAAGCTCAAACACTATGGATTTTCAAGATTTAGAACACTTGACTTACCATTTTCTGTTTGGAATCTTCATATGGTAGATACCTTCAAGAAGACAAACTGACAAAGTCCAATGCTATGAGCCTGCAACAATGAAGTACCTAGGGTACTTCCCTGCTCTCAAACCTGATGAGGTTAGTAAAAGACAAGGCTACCCCTGCATTGCTTTCTTAAATTCCTATTGGTTAATAATGATTGACCAAAATGTCCTCAGGTGAAGGAGCGAGTGGCACAGGTTAGGAAATCTCAGAAAGTGTGGGCAAAGAGTAGCTTCAAGCAAAGGCGCCAGTTCTTGCGTGTACTTTTAAAGTATATTATTGAACATCAAGAACTTATATGCGAGTAAGAAATCTTTTCAAAATTGAAGGAAAGATAAGTCATTGAAATGAAAAGAGTCAAATGATCCTAATTCATTTTTATATTTCTTAGAATCTCTTCACGTGATACTGGAAAGACAATGGTGGATGCATCATTGGGAGAAATAATGACAACATGTGAAAAGATTACTTGGCTTCTTTCAGAGGGGGAGAGGTGGCTAAAACCCGAGTATAGGTATTCAAATGATCTCTCTTTAGTTTGATTTTGTTCAGTATTTCAATTACCAAACAACATTACTAGAAAAAAGTCAAAAACAGTTGAAAATTAATTATGTTTGTTGTCAGATCATCTGGAAGATCAATGCTTCACAAAAAATCCAAAGTGGAATTTCACCCCCTTGGTGTAGTTGGAGCAATTGTATCATGGAATTATCCATTTCACAACTTGTTTAATCCAGTTTTAGCTGCTGTCTTCTCTGGGAATGGCATAGTTGTCAAGGTATTTAATTCTTGAGTAATTTACATTACACCCCCTGGAGTATAGCTATTTTAGCAGTCTTGGTCCAAAAATGTTTTATATTGCAAATTTGGTCATCATTTGTGGTCTTGTAACAGTTTTGGTCCCTGTTCCAAGTAAAATAACTATTTTGGTCCCTGAGCATGACTGATTTTTGCAATTTTGGTCCAAAAAATAGTCATTTTCTTGAAATGGAGATGAACAACCGCAAATACGGGACCAAAATTGCAAAATTAGCTATACTCAAGGACCAAAAATGCAATTTACTCTTCCTTATTGGTATTTCAGGTTTCAGAATATGCAAGCTGGTCTGGATGCTTCTACGTGCGAATTCTCCAAACTGCCCTTGCAGCTGTTGGTGCTCCCGAAAATCTTGTTGAAGTCATAACCGGGTAAGCCAAGCCCTTTTTGGTCATTTCAGTAATTTTTAATTTTATCAGGTCCCTTAAACTTTGAATTTTCCAGGTTTGCTGAGACAGGAGAAGCATTAGTCTCCTCAGTTGACAAAATCATATTTGTCGGATCTCCAGGTGTCGGCAGAATGGTATGATTTTCCCTTTTCCATCTCATGACTGGAAGATAACATAAAGGGCATTAATGTAATTTCACATTACATTTTTTTATAAAACCAGATAATGAGAAAAGCCGCTGACACATTGATACCCGTGACACTTGAGCTTGGTGGAAAAGATCCGTTTATTGTCTGTGAAGACGTCGATGTGGCTCATGTAAGAATCTTTGACTTTTGGTCAAATTCATATGACAATTTTGACTTTTCCATCTTTTGTTTACTCCAAATTGTGAGAAATAGCAATGAATATACATTTTCTACCAATAATAGCAATATGTAATCCATAATAGCAGCTACTTATATTTTCTTTATAAAAATAGCAACGTAGTTAGTTTTTATTTTATTTATTTATTTATTTTTTTTACCAATAATAGCAATATATGACAAATAAAGTACATTGCCTATATTTGTAAAAATGTTAAAGTACATTGCTATTCTGAGCAAAGAAGCCATTTTTTAATAAAATCTTAAAATACAGGTTGCACAAGTTGCTGTTAGGGCTGCTTTACAATCTAGTGGACAAAACTGCGCAGGGGCTGAAAGATTTTATGTCCACAAAGACATATACGCTTCATTTGTAGCTGCAGTAGTCAAGATTGTTAAATCTGTCTCAGCTGTAAGTAACTAATTAGTAATTACAGTTCTACCCTTTTGATTATATGTAATTTGCAACGTGCTGTTTGTATTTTTTTAACCAAGTAAAGAAATATTCCAGGGTCCTCCACAACTTGGAAAATACGACATGGGTGCAATTTGCATGCAAGACCATTCTGAAAGGCTTCAGAGCTTAATAAATGATGCGTTGGATAAAGGAGCTGAAATTGTTGGAGGTGGAAATGTGAGAGATATTAGTGAAGGTGCTGTTGACCAATACTTCCCTCCTACTGTTATTGTAAACGTCAACCATCAGATGAAATTGATGCAAGAGGAAGTAAGTCTTTTTTTTTTTTTTTTTTTTATTATTATTATTTGGATTATGATGACGTGGCACATGTTAACAGCTTTTGATTCTATGAATAGGCTTTTGGACCGATTATGCCAATAATGAAATTTAGCACGGATGAGGAGGCGGTGATGCTTGCAAATGACTCGAAATATGGGCTTGGGTGTGCGGTGTTTTCTGGGAGTCAAAAGCGTGCAAGATCAATAGCTTCACAGTTAAATTGTGGAGTTGCTGCTATTAATGACTTTGCTTCTAATTACATGTGTCAGGTAAAACTTACATTTAGAGTTTCTTGTTTTTCTTTATCTACAGTAAATTACATTTTTGGTCCCTTGAGTATAGCTGATTTTTTCTGTTTTGGTCCCAAAAAAGTTCTCAGGCAATTTTGGTCCCAAAAAGTTTTCTCTTACGATTTTGGTCTTTAGTTCTTGTAATGTTTTTGGTCCCTGTTCCAAGTAAAATGACTTTTTGGTCCATATTTTTAGGTTCTTGTTACGTTTTCGATCCCATATCCAAGTAAAATGACTATTTTTGGTCCCAAAGTTATAAGTCATTTTTATTTGGAACAACAACCAAAAAAAGTTATAGAAACCTCGGATAAGGACCAAAATTTAAAAATTAGCTATGCTTAGGGACTAGAAAGGTAATTTACACAATTAGTTAATTAATTATTTTTTTTGTGATGGCAGTCTCTGCCATTTGGTGGTGTGAAAGACAGTGGATTTGGGCGGTTTGCTGGGATTGAAGGGTTGCGTGCTTGTTGCCTTGTGAAATCAGTTGTGGAAGATAGGTGGTGGCCTTTGATTAAAACCAAAATACCAAAGCCAATTCAGGTAAAACTTTTCCAATTAATTACTTTAAAAATAAAATAAGATATTTTATTTTGTCTAAAAATATAAGGCATTTGTTTTTTTGTTTCTATAGTATCCTGTTGCGGAAAACTGCTTTGAGTTCCAGCAGTCGCTTGTGGAGGCTTTGTATGGGGTGAACGTGTGGGACCGGTTGAGGGCGTTGGTTAATGTTTTGAAAATGCTGACTGAACAGAATTCTACATTTAACAGTAAGAGAAGTGATTGACTTTTATTTTAGAATCAAATGAAAATGTATTTTTGGTTTGAACTTTGTATGTGAAAAGGAAGTTGAAAACGACATTTTATCATAGGATCTTTTATTAAGTTGGAATGTATTTTTGATTTTTATTCCTTGGTTGCTGATTATTATCGTATTTGTTCTTTTAGTTATGAACATGCCATTTTATTTAAAACAAAACACTCGTGTTTCATATATTTATGTTTTTGAAATTAGAGGTTTAGAAAACAAAATTAAAACTGATAAATAGATTGATGAATATATGAAAGAATGGACGACCCATTTCATCTAAATATTTGCCTGTTTAATTATACTTACAATGTGCAAAAAGTACTAATCAATGCTTTAATTGTATGAATAATAATGATATTGATACGTAATATTTATTTTAATTTTCAAATAAGTAAGATTGTATGTTTCTAAAAAAGACAACCAAATATTTTGAGAAGAATGGTGAAAAGTTGTAAAATTGTTAAAACTGTTTAAGATTGTATGATTTTTCTGCTGACTTATTTTTATCCATCGACACAATGTTACAATTAATTGACAATTACGCTTCTCATTAATATAAGCAGCATCTCATTTATATAAATAATCAGGTTATAATCCATATACACATGGTTGACAAAGTAAAACAACATTAAAACTTAAAAAAAAAAAGATAATGTAGTCATAGATTTTTTTTATTATTTTTTTTTTTGGAAAGGGAACTTCCCTAACGAGGGTTTCCGGGCCAGCTTTCGCGCACCGACTAATCCCCCGCTGCAAACATAAAGCTTTGCCTTATGCCCTGGAGTCACTGCAGGCGAACCTCCATGGCCACAAGAGCTGAGTGGTGTCAGGATTTGAACATGGGTCGATAGGTTATCCACCATATCTTCCACATGCCTTACCAAGTCACCACAACCCAAGTGGTTATGTAGTCATAGATTTACGAACAACTAAATTTAAAGAGTTAGATGTTTTGACTATAATTATAGAATCGCTAATTTAAATTAATATATAAGTTGTTTTGAAGATATGAGAAATTTTTTTTATGTCTAAATTAATTATAAATGATCATGTTCAAAATAATATTGTTCAAATTTAAACGTCAAAGGAAAAACAAACCTAATAAATGTTGTTGATCAAAGGAATGGAAGAAAAAGAACTATTGTAAATTTGACATGGATAAACCATTTTAACTGCAATATGTATAAAAATTTTAAATAAAAACATTTTAACATTTTTTACAACAATATTAAAGAACTAAGATAAATTTGGCTTGCTGATTTTTGACTTTATTGACATCCGCATATGTAATATATTTGACAGTAACATGCACACCATTCTAACATCAAGATTTTAATATTTTTGACATAAGCATAAAAGAACTACGATATATTTGACATCAACATTTTTTACCGTTTAGTTGTAAGCAACTTTTCCTTAAGTACGACGAAGATGATCTCCAATAACAAACTTGAAACTCCCTGCACGATCCACTCCAAGGTTACCATACTAAATGCTCAAAACTTGGTCGACCAAAAGTAGGAAAAAACTAGACAAAGGTTACAAGAAAAAAGTTATATGGTCAAATCGTTTGAATGATAAAAAATTGAAGATCTCATTAGAACTTTATGTTACCTCAACTTGTATCTACAAAATTGATAATTTCATTAGGCATAAACTCATTTCAGGTTACCTAAACATCAAAGTCAACATTCTTAGCCTTTTTTTGCCACTAAAAAGTAAAAACAACCAAGGTCCATCTTTTACCATTAAAAATGACAAAAATCTACAATTTTAGCCATTTTGACAAAAAAATCTTTGAAACTCGTCATTATTGTAACATCCCGTTTAAAATAGAACAATTAAATAATAAACCAGGGACCCTGAGAAGTAATTGTTATTATTATTTCATATTATTATAACCCAAAATCAAATAAAAACTAACAGGGTGATGGTTTCGGGGAGCCAAATGACAAGACTTGAATCTTCAGGGGTTAAAAGTGTAAGTTTTGGATTTAATTTGAAAATGATTTTAGAAGTCATGGTGTGGTTGGGAATTAATGGACTTAAATTGAAAGGATTTGAAGGCTTAGGGGGTTGATTGGTAATTTCGGGACATATTATGAAAGGACTTTTGGAGACAGGGGTTAAAGGGGTAAATTTCGGATTCATTTTGAAAAGATTAATAGAGGGAGGGCCATTGTTGTTATTCTGGGGAGAAGTTTCATGGGGCCCGGGGTATAAGACCCGTCACCCCGGTAAACCCTAACCCTAGCCAATGTCATCCGCCACCCTCTCCATCCTCCTTCTCCTCCTACCGCCGCCATCTCTTCCATAGTCACCTTGCACCACCATGGCTGGATTCGTCGAGCACCACCACAACAGCCCGTGCTGACTGTGACGTCGTGAATGGCCGGTGAAAACCCCACCAAGAGCGAAGCCGCCACTAACGTCGGTGGATCTATTGTTGTTATTCGATGTGGCCCGGACCAACCGCCATAGTTCCTTCCTGACCCATAGTTGATGCCATTGTGGTTGCTGCCGACGAAGACGAAAGTCGCCACCCGTCACCGTTTATCTTTGGAGATCGAAGGCTGACGGTAATGGAGGTCGCTGTGGTCGTGGGAGAGACCGGTCAAACTTGCTGCTATTAGATCTCAATGTTGCTGTCGTTGCCATACGGTGTTTTGCCGATGACGATATTGTTGCCGATCGACTGCCGTCTGCTATCACTTTTCGTCGCCACCAGCCATCGTGGAAGGTGGCTGTGTGCATGTTTTACCATGTGTTTAGGTGTGTGTTGATGTATTATGTTGTATGTATTGTTTGGCCGGATTCCGCAGGAAAAGCCACCACCACCATGAGGTGGTGGCTGCCACTATATACCACCGCCAGCCACCATAATGGTGGATGTGTGTGTGTGTGTTTAATTGTTGTTGTTTTTTTTTTTTTTTTTTTTTTTGTGTTTTATGTTGTAATTGGTAAAGTAATAATGAAAAGAAACTCATAACCACCACCGTGAGGTGGTGGTTGCTGCTACCCGCCGTTGTGTTGGGTGGCGGTGTGCTTAGTTGTGTTTGGATTGCTTTTGGAGTGCTTGGACACGATTGGACTAGAACCATAACCACCACCGTGAGGTGGTAGTGGGTGGTGCCCAACTAATGAAACCGGGTCCAATGAAGCCCAAAGTGATCTAGAAGCTTAACCCTAATGTCATGAAACCCTAATTTTGGGAATTTGATCGGGACTCGCACTGGAATTACTATGGGACTTAAAATATTAATTAATAATCATTGGCAAATGACCTAAAGCAATATTGGACTTAATGGATTAAGTCCTTAATGAGTTAAGTAGGAACACTTAACCCTAATCGTTATTTTATGTGAAAACCCTAATTTCACTTGGGCCTTGAGTTGGACCTTTCTATTGGACTTTGGTGATTAGACTATTCATGGGCTTATCCAAGGACAAGTAAATGGACCAAAATAATTGGATGAGCTTTAGGATAAAGCCCATGTGAAGGACTTGGGCCCAATTTGGAAAATTGGGCCATTGGTGGTCCATAACTGGGCTTTGATGATTATGTGATTTTGGGCCATGGGAATACCAAGAGTTTGGACTAGAATAATTGGATGGGTGATGTGTGTAAAACCAACTAGTTTTAATCCTACTTTTTCAATATAAATTTGACACACAAAGGCAGCAGACCAATCGATTGTGGTGTAGCTAAATAAGTAGGGTATCGAACTCAGGGAATGGAAATTAAACAAATAACTAATATTATCTAAGAACAAGTACTAAAAATAATGGTTTTCTCTAGTTTTACAGGACTAGAAACTTAAATAGACTAACTAACATGCAATTTACTAACTAACAGCTAAAGCAAGTAAACACCACTAAATTCAATAGTTAAGAGGGCTTCTGTTTAGGTTCGAATCATTTGTTCCCATGGATGATTTTATGGTAAATGCATCAGATTAATTCTTCATTGGTTACCGATTAAAGTGATTAGATTCACGTTCGCTATTGCTAATCCTTAGAAAACAGATTAATTCAAGCAATGACCAATTGTCTAAATTAATGAATTTCCTAGTTTATTGATTCGGGTTAAGTAAGACTTGTAATAATCTAATCAAATATGCTAATTCAATTAACTCCTTGTTGACGGTTCGTCACACAAGATCACACATTAACTTACCTATCTTCTAGTTAATTCTAGTTTCACATTCGTTATTCCTAGACATATAACTATGTGGTCACATAAATCATATGAAATTAATAACTAAGAGATGTTCATACAACTTAATTACTGATTTATTAACAGAGAATAATTGTTATTAACATATGAGGTTCTTTAACAAGCTTAACAAAACAATATCACCAATTAAAATTAATCCTAACCATAAAATCAATCCATATTCACAAAATCATCTACCCGAAATAGAAGATAAAGGGTTTAGTTCATAATTGCAGTAAAAAAAAATTAAAAAACGAATTCAAATAGTTCAAACATGATTCAATAAAAATATTAACTAAAAATAAATTAGAACTTGCCTTAATCCTCTTCAAAATCGAACGCAGGGTTGATTTCTCAGCTTCTCACCGTCACCTTCAATCGCATATTTTAACCTCCTAGGGTTTCAGAGAAGTCCCCATCTCGATCTCAAAGTCCCTATTTATATTATTTTAGAAACTAAGGTGACTCGTCAAGTCAAGGTCCCAACTCGCCGAGTCCCTCATTAAAAGTTTGTGTACGTCATGTACTTCTAGAGCTTCGCGAATCTTCGTTCCGACTCGTCGAGTCAGGAGTTGACTCGCCGAGTCCTTCTTGTTTTTGGCATTTTTCTTCTTTGTTTCAACTCCCGAACTTCCAACTGCTTCTCCTGCTACCTTTTGCTTCAGAGCATATCTTTTGGACTGAAAATACAATTCAAACCCTATTAAGTACCTTTTGTCCATAATGTGCAAATAATTAGTTAATAAATAAGAAAAATCTACACTAAATATATTGCTAAATATGAACATATCAAAATACCCCACACTTAACTTTTGCTTGCCCCGAAGCAAAACTAAATTTTAGCACACTAATATTAGATAAGGTAATCCCAATCGAACCCAACCATTATCTCAAGACCACAATGCATG